AGCAACTGTACTCCAATTTTTAAAAATAATAAAATAAAATATCCACAATAGTGCAAATGTCTTATATATGAACCAAGCCCCCACTTCATTTCTACACATACTAAGCAATTCTCCTTTTTTGGCTGCAGAGTGCTGCATGCAGGATCTTAGTTCCTCAAACAGAGATCAAACCCGGGCCCCACAGTCTTCACCACTAGACCTCCAGGGAAGTCCCAATCATATGCAATTCTGTGCATGGTGTCCCATGTCCAACCCCAGCCCAGGCTAATCAGGTGTCCCACACCGCTGCCTCAGGAATGGAGGCCAGAGAAAAAGGAAAGGAGAGAAGTCACTTTTAGCCCTTACACTCAAAACAGGCTTCTGAAACTCAGCACAGATGTCTCAGGTTGAGACAGAGTTCTTGAGCCTCAGAGTTTGACTAAGATCATGGGGGGTGGGGGTGGGTTCTCTCCTGTATCCCGTCCCCCAACCTTTTTATAGAGCAGGGAGGGTGGAGAAGTGATCAGCCAAGTCCTTCCCCCTCTCAGTGTCTCTGTTTCCTCATCTGTCAAGGGGCACAATCGCAACCAGCTGATGATATGTTGAGAGGATAAAGTGAGTTTATTCACGGTAAGCAGTTAGAACAGGGCCATACCTAGTAAATAATCAATAAGTATCTTGATCATTACCATCATCGTGGAGGAATGGCCTGTCTGAGGCAATATACCTGAGTTCCCTGCAGCCCCAGAGTAGGAAAAGACGCCATCCAGAAGTTTCTCAGGCACCAGAGAGAGATACAGACAGGCCTTCCTGCGTAAGCCGGCAGGGCTGTGCAATGACTGAGGAGGGCCAGGTCCCCGGACATGCCACAGGACCTCAGAACTTAAGAGATGCCAGGCAGGAAAGAAAAAAACAAAGCCGACTAGAAAACCTGAGCCGACCAGGGTTTCCCTGAAATGGCTACAGTTCTGCCATCAGCCACTATCAGAAGCTAGTCCATTTTCTGCATTGACTGCAAGCAACAAATCCATTTCAAGGGGGAAATGCCTGCATGCTGCCTTGTCCCTTTCCTCTCTCCAGGGCTGGCCTCCCTGGCTGTTTTGCTGGACAAGGATTGCCATCTGCAGATCCAATGGGGCCGATTCTGCGGGAAGTCCAGACTGAAGTCAGCCTTCACTGGGCCTCCTGGCTGCCCGGACCCCTGAGATAAGAGGCCTGAATATCCGAGCACTTTCATCTCACGCCAGTCTCACTCAGGGCCCCTCCATGTTCCCTCCACCTCCTTTCCCTTTCCTCCCCCTTCCTGCCCGCCTTTCTCGGGAACTGCCTCTCCCTCCAGATGCAGTTCTTGACCTTGTCCCTGCCACAGACTCCCGCCCTCGTGCTCCAGGCAGCTTGGCAGGGCCTGGCCAGCTCTGTTCCAGGAGAATCATGTGGTGCGGCTGGCCGGCTCCTCACCCCTGCGGCCTCTCAGGGCTGCCCGCTGGGCCAGGCCAGCTCCGCCAGGACACCTGGGAGCAAGCCATCTCTGATTTGACAAGAGGAGGTTGTGAGACGGCCTGACACCACTCTCTGGAGAGCGGCCCATTCACCCGTTCATTCATGGATTCAGCGAGCCGTCCTGGAGGCCAGGTGGCCAGAGCTGAGCCGGTTTTCACCCCACCAGTGCCGACTGGGCTTGGAGCCTGGATTCAGTGCCCTTTGCCCAGGCACCAGGGGCTGGGTCCCAGGGCATCATAGATGGAATGTAGAGAGGCTGAAGGCCTATTGCATGGAAATGAGCAGAAAGAAAGGAGTTTCTGCCATGCACCCTACCAGAACCAGCACTGGCCGGGAGCCAGAGGCAGATGACCCCAGTCCCAAGCCTTCCTCCTGCCCGCAGAGAGCCACCCGGAGCCCCCTGGCCCTCCCCTGGGCAGGCAGGAGCCCCCAAGCAGAACAAGGTCTATGGGGAGCCCCCAGGTACAGGTGAAGCTATCTGAAATGCTTCTGGGTGGGGATTCAGGGCTCTGGCAAGGATTAAAGCCACTTGAGGAAAGGAGAGAAGAGTGGGGAACAAGTATTTCTGGAGTGACTTAAACCAGGGGTCCCCAACCCCCCCGCCATGGACTGGTATCTACTGTCAGATCAGCGGCAGCTAGATTAGAAATAAAGTGCACAATAAATGTAAGGCGCTCGAATTATCCAAAAACCTTCCCTCCCCTCCCGGTCCTTGAAAAAATTGTCTTCCACGAAATCTGTCCCTGGTGTCAAAAAGGTTGGGGACTGCTGACTTAAACCTCAGGACACACAGCAGCCACTGGCCCCAGGTAGCCCTGGGGCATTTGAGTCCTCACTCCTTCAGCTACTCCTCCCACCCCCAAACCTCACCCGGGAGCCTGTGACCCCGCCTTCACCCCTAGGCTCTGCCTATCTCTCAGGGCAAGGGTCAGCAGCCAACTCCCCAAGGGGCTTGGGCTCAGCCTGGTCTAGCCATCTGTGAGTTGTGGTTAATGGCCGGGCACTCAACTCACAAAGTGAGCTGTTCCCCGCCGCGGAGGGCTAATCACTCCAGGCTGAAGTGGATTAATCATTAAAGACCACCCCCCCCCCACAGGATTGGGGCTCCCTCCCTGAAGTGACCCGGCCCCTCTGTGTTTCCTGCTGCTGCTACAGAGAGAGGAGAGTAGAAAGAGGGCCTTGGGTTTCCAAGGCTCCGAAGAAGAGCTCCCAGACTCAGATACGGCACCTCGTCTACCCCACTGTGCAGGTCAGACGCTTTGGACTTCTGAGTGTGTCTTTTCCTGTCATGTGGGCTTAGGCTTTGAATCACGTGACAGGATTACTGATATAGAAAACAAGAAACGCGTTGAAAAATCACTAAGGCCAAACACGCATGCGCACACGACCTCCCCAGTTGCCGCAGACAGAAAACGATCCAAAGCACCGGCTGAAAAGGTCAGGCTAGCCGTTCCCACTGACTTCCTGCTGGACCTGACATCCACATTCAGGCTTTCTAGGCCTGCCTTCAAGGCCTTGGGCAACCAGGCCCTGCCACGCTCCAGCCAGCCTGGTCTCCCCACTGGTCATCCGAAGCACCAGGGACCCGCCCCCCTCCCCTTCCCCAGCGCCGGACCTGGCCCGGGTGCGTGCACCACCTCCCGCCCACCTCCTTCAGGTTCCAGCCTCACTGCCTCTGGAGAGACCCGCTCCAACCACCCAGCCCAAACCAGCTCGCCGCCCCTCGCCTGCTTCAGGCCTTCACTGCACCCAGCGCGACCTGGCACAGTTGACCATCGTTGGCTGGTAAGGCTTCTCTGTTTGCGGCTCTAACTCCAGTTCAAACATCCTGAATGGAGGTGATGGTGGCGGGGGAGGTCCTGTGATCCACTCTCCTGCCTCAGGGCGGTTTCAGAGCCCACACTTCCCAGGGAGAAATGTGTACTCACTTTCTTGCAGCTCAAATGCAGGTCTGTCTCGGAAGATGGTGGTGTGGGGCCCCCACCCCAGTCTGAGATGGGCACCTCACACGCTGGCCTGGGAGCCACAGCCCAGAGACAAGCACTACCAGGTGATGTTTATGGGCAATTAGAGCTCCAGCGCCAAGGCCCTGCGCAGACTGCTTTGCCCAGGTGACCTCACTTAATCCTCAGCCTCCTTAAAGGAGCCCGGGAGGTGCGTCCTGTTCTCCCGTTTTACACTTTGAAAGGGGAGCCAAGTTGCCCAAGCTCATGCCACTGTCCTTTGGCTTCTGAATGCTTACTCTCACATGTATCCCCAGGAGCAGAGAGAAGGCTGGGGTCCCGTGGCCCCGAGACAGAAGCAAAACAGATGCAGGCCCCCCAAAATAACACGTTATCTTTGAAGCGGTATGAAGGACAAGACTCCCAACAAGACAAAGTGGGGACCCTTCTCTCTCAAGCCTCTTAAAGGTGTTTTATTTGTTTGCTTTTCTTTTATCTTTTTCTCTTAAGACAATAATGGCACATTAAAAAAAATTAAGAACTACAAAAAAGGACCATGTCTTGGAGTCTGTGTTCACACTGCCCTGGGCCGTGGCACCAGGACTGGTGATTCTAACTGGGGTTCCGGCCTCTTGGAAAGGTTCTGGGTGGGTCGTCTCCCCCCACACAGGGGCCACTCCAGGGGGTTCAGGCGCTGCTCCTCTGGGCCCCCCTTAGAGGGCGCACCCCAGCTCCACCAACTCAGGCCAACCACCTTATCTCTCTCCAAACCACAGCCAGGACCTGGAAACCTTAGGGAACTGACTTTGGTCCCCACAGGGGACTTTATAGGGACAGAGCCCTCCCCTGACCAGCAAGAGAAGACACCCCAGCCCAGCCCGGTTATCCCCAGGAGGTCAGGGTGTCCTCCCTGGTCCTGTCTCCAGCCCAGCTGATACCACAGTGATGCTCCGGTCCTCAGTCCCGGCCCAGAACCCTCCCGCCATGCCCTATGGCCACCCCAGCAGGCACACGAGTGACAAATGCTCAACCCCCCTGTGACCCCCACCAACAGCAAGAGAGGGCTCCCCAGACCCCAGGGCCCTGGCTCAGAAGGAAGGGCTGGGAGAGCAGACGGGATGCAGGGCAGGGGGACGGGGGGGGGGGGGGGGCAGGGAGGATGTGGGGTGAGGAGCTGAGCTGCTAGGGTAGGAGAGAAGTGACAGAGGCCGGCTGAGGGCTCGGGGAGGCTCCTCAGACTCTGCAGCAAGAAGTGGCGGGGCGGGGCGGGGGGGTCCTAGGGTTGTGGCACAGGCCTGGGGGGTGGGGGCAGGGAGAAAGAGGCAGAAAGAGGCTCCGTCCTGCCTCCAGTGACCATGGGGGTACAGGCCTGGGTGACAAGACCTTAGGGCCCCCCAAAAGGAAACGCCATGCTGCACTCAGCCAGGCCTCAGCCCAGCCCTCATGGGAGGGAGGGACCCCACCAGCCCAGGCCCTGCCAGCCCCAGCGGCTTCCCAGGGCGCCACCCACCCCCATAGGCCAACCGGACCACAGCTGGTGGGGGGCCCAGCCCCCCGGCCCCACCCACGCCCTCCGCTCTACTCCTGCTGCTCGTTCATTTCCATGTCGGACACCAGGATGTTCTTCTCAGTGGCCTCGCTGGGGCCGGAGGAGCTGCGGCTGTAGCGGGCGCCCTCAAAGGCCCCCCGCTCAACGCTCTGTCGCCGCCGGTAGAGAATCAGGGCGGCGGTCAGCAGGGCCAGGAGCAGGAGCACCGCCATCAGCACCACCACCAGGGCCGCGGGGTTCTCTGGGAGGGCTGCTGCGGCCGGAAGGACCCTTGGTCAGAAGCCCCGCCACGCCCGCCCGCTGCCCAGAAGGACCAGGACAGGACCGGGGGAGAGGGCTAGTCCTGCCTGCCACTCACCTGATGGGGAGAAGCTGCTCGCCTCAGCTGTAAGGGAGGAGGGACCAGTTAACAACAGTGGTAGTAATAATATAGTAATAATAAGCAAACATGTAAGAACATATTCTGCAGTGCCAGACACTTCACTGGTTCATTTACTTCTCTCATAGGTACTCTTATTATTTTTGTTGTTTAGACACAGAGTCGTGTCCGACTCTTCTGCAACCCCTTGGACTGTAGCCTGCCAGGCTCCTCTGGCCATGGGATTTCCCAGGCAAGAATACTGGAGGGGGTTGCCATTTCCTCCTGCAGGGGATCTTCGCAACCCAGGGACTGAACCCCCATCTCCTGCATTGGCAGGCAGATTCTTTACCACTGAGCCACCTTCGAAGCCCATAGGTACTTTTATTACCCCCATTTTACATATGAGTAGATTAAGGTCAAAGAGCTTGAGCAATTTACCCAAGGTCACAGAGTTGGCAAATGGTTTGGCCTGGGCTCGAACCCCATATCCCTGCCTTTAACCACGACAAAATGACAGGTTTGCTGTCTACTGTGGCAATTTGCAGGAAGGGCCAGCCGTTGGTACAGACCAACTGATCCCAGAGGAGGGTCCCAGCAGCCCCAGGCCTATTGACTCCCTCCCATTCACTGTGTGGCTGCAGAACGAGCAGCGGCCCCGGGGGCCCCCCGCCCCCCAGCACTAGATGTCCCCCGCACCTCGAGGGAGCTTGCAGACCACGCCCATGGTGATATTGGTGCAGGCGCCCGGGCGCCACAGCCCACTGCTGCTCTGGATCCAGTAGCAACTGTTGTGGCTCAGCATGCTGGGGCCCAGGCCCGGGGGCCCCCAGTTGGAATAGTTCACAGCTGTGTTGTCCTGCCAGACCAGGGTGCCCCCTGTGGGAAAGGCGGCATTGGGTGGGGGGCGTTGCTGGGGATGGCGGGGGGCGGGCAGCGACAAGGAGAAGCCGACGGGAGAGAAGAGGCCTGTTCTAGAAAAACACCACCTCCCACAGATCCTCACCTTCCTCCCACAGGTCTTCACCCCCCACCCCTCCACCCTTCACCACCGGCCAAGCCCCAGTGGAAGGCCTCCCCCTGCATCCTGAGGCCTGCCCCTCCTGACCTTATACCCAGGGGACCCACCTTTGGGGTTGAAATTCATGCCCAGCCAGGCGCCCCGACTCTGGCCCTCAGAGCTCTGCAGATGCTCCCAGACAAACACGTTCTCCATCTCATCCAGGATGGACAGGACCGCGCCGCCCGCTGGACACAAAGGAGGCCGACGTCAGGGCAGGCCAGTCTCCTGGGGGGTAGCGGAGCCCCCGGAGAGGCCCCGCCCTCTTCTCTGGCAGCCTGAGTAGAGGATGGCGTGGAGACGTGCGTGTAACAGGGGGCTACATTTACATCCGTGTCCCGTCCCAGGTGGTCTGTGTGGACTGGACCGTGAGGGGCACTGAGAGGTGAGTGCGGCCGACAAGCAGAGTGGGGCACGGGGACCACATTCGTGGGGTCTCTGAGCGCCCTCGAGAGGGGTCGCCACCTGGAACGCCCAGGTGGGGGCGCTCGCCCCCCAGCCCACCTCTCTGGCAGCGCTGCAGCGCCTCCTTGTGGCCCAGCAGCAGCTCCATGTGGAAGGAGTAGCAGTGCTCTCGGAAGGGAATCCATGCCGAGTCCGCCAGCCCCTGGGGACAGCTCCCGTGGTAGCTTATTCGTCGCGGAGGAGGCGGCCCTGTGGGGGAGAAATGCAGGATTGAAGAAGTGACCCAGGGTCCTCCCGGAGTCGGCTTCCCCCTGGCGCAGCCCTCGGCCCCGGTGGGCGGGCACTCACCGCCGTGAACGCCACACACAGCCCCCTGCAACTTGGTGTCACAGCTGGTGGTGCGCCAGGCGCCATCCGTGTCCACGTAGGCGCAGCCCCCCGGGAGCTGGGGCTCCCCATCCTGCCAGCTCACGTAGCTCAGCGGCTCCTCCGAGACCCAAGAGTACCGCCGGGAGCCCTGGGCACAGGGGGCCATCAGGGTGGGAGCAAGGGGACCAGCCAGGACGGGGTCAGGGGTAGGGGGCCACGGAAAGCAGGGCGTCAAGAGGAGACAGGGAGGGAGCTGGGGGTAGGGGGGCCCAGCCCGGTGCCCACCTCCTCACTGGCCAGCCCAATCCAGAGCGGCGTGCGCAGCCCTCGGGCGGCCTGAGTGAGGAAGGCCTGCGTGTAGGGGTCGAGCACGTGGGCCAGGCTGGCATTTCGGCTCTCACACAGCAGCAGGGCGTCGTGCCAGCGCAGCGGCTTCTGCAGCAGCCGGAAGGTGCCGTTGAGGTAGGAGAGCTCAGCGCCCGGGGCAGGGGGCGACGCTGCTGGGGATGGGCTCAGGGAGGGGTCTACAGGGAAGGGGGCAGGACTCAGGCCGGGCTCTGCTCCCCTCACCCCATCCCCAGGCATGAGGCCAAGGGGGAACAGCAGGCAGAGACCAACTCTCCTCTGGGCACAGTAACCGTCAGTCACTGTTGTTATTAATATGTTCTTACTAGTAAAGGGATGAGCAACCTTGAGCCTGACCAGGAGTCCAGAGCCGAGGGACCCCTGCTCAGAGCTGCAGGAGCCTCAGATGTAGAACCACGTGGTCCCTGCCACGACGCGTGCCCAGTGTCTTAGTTCTCCCTGGTCAGCCCTCCAAACCTTCCTCCTGCAACCCCTGGGTGCTCACTGCCTGTCCCTCTGATTGGTGCCTGGCCTTTCTGCCCATCTGCTTCCCAAGCAGAGTGGTCCCCTGAGATCAGGGACCATGCCTCATTCCTCCTGGCTCAGCCCACAGCATCCAGCCCTGGGCTGAGGTTTCCAGGCTCCTGGGTGTACCTACCCGTGGCCTTCTGGCAGATGAAGCCGTGGGTCTCCTCTGCACAGCTCCGGTCATCCCAGCGGCCAGTGAAGTGGGTTGAGGGGCTACGCAGGACCACCGCACAGCTGGTCTGGGGGGAAGGAGCTGCTCAGGGGAGCCCCAGGAGCTGCCTGCCTTGTGCCACCACCCCCAAAAGTCTGTACTATGAGCAAAGAGGTTGCAAGGGGCCCCCGGGTGTGAAGACAAGTGCTGCAGGCCAGGGCGGGTTAGCGGGTGCAGAGGAGAGCATGGGGCAGGGGCTTCCTCACCGGTATGTTGCCGCTGGGAGCAGGGCTAGGGCCAGAGGGCTCCCCGGGGGCCCAGTTGGCATACTGCAGAGGCTCCTGCTCCACCCACTGGAAGTCCCTCTGTGAGGCATGGAGGCCAATCCAAAGGTCAAAGGTCACATCGGGCAGGCTGGCTGTGATGAACGCTAGTCCCCCAGGAAACAGAGTCATGAGCCACAGGGCAGCAGCCCCGTCCTCACTCTGTTCTAGCCATCTAGGGGGATGGTGTCAGAGGACTCTGGGGCCTCCCCCTGGGCTGGCCCTACCTTGCTCTAAGGGGTTTGCAATGGTGACCAGTTGGGCCTCTTGCTGTTCACAGGAGAACTGCGCCTCTGACCACTTCACCCGGTCCTGGGGGTCCTGGCCTTGGATTCGGAAACACTGTGGGGCGGAGGGGGAGGCATGACATCCAGCTCCCCCTCCCTGGCACCCACACCCAGAAACTCCAACCCCTCAGCGCCAGGCCCTGGGGAGGCTGTGGGGGCTGGGAGAGAGAAACAGGAGAACCAGGAGAGCTGGGTCTCCTTGACCAAGGCTCCAATACCCTCCCGACCTGGCATGGCAGATTCAAATACACTGGCCCACACCTGGGGAGTTTTAAAGTGAGAAGATTTCTCTGGGCCACCAAATGCTCCACCACCTATGACAGCAACCCCTGGGCCACGCCTGGGGACAAGGTCTGTTTGGTTCTTGGCTTCATATACTTCAAAGGCTTTCAAAAGAATTATTGGTATCATTACAATGATGCTGACAAATTAAGAAAGGGACCGGTTACATATATGAAATATATTGTTTTACATTAGGTGGAAGAAGCCATAAGAATAAGTTTTTGGAACAATTCAATGACATGGAGAAAGACTCAAAGTATAATACTGAGGAAAAAAAAGTTGGCTACAAAATTGTGCTATTTAGTATGATCTCAGTTACATGGAAAATGTCAAGAAGTGGAATAAAAAATATTGATAGTGGTTATCTCTGGAGAGTCTAGATGAGTTTTAGGGTTTTTTTTTAAAAAATATGAATAATACATCTTACTCTTTTTTTTTTTTTTAAGGCAGAAAAGGTGTATTATTTGCTTGAATAATCTGAAGACAGTGAGAGCTCCATGACACTATGAGCTGGCTGCACTCCAGTGCATGACAAAGATTTATGGATTGGGTTATCTAGTGTTAACTAATCTAATCCTCACAATTCGGTTAAGCAGTCTTACAGTGTCCGGCAAAGAAGGCATGATTCAGAGCTCATACTAAGGATGCCAGGGAAAACCACAAGGAAATAGCACACTTTCCTTCCTGGGATAAGCTCTTTCAGCCACTAGATAAAAACAATGAAGGTCTAATCAGGTTGAATGAATCAGCCCATGGGTCACTAACCACTCTTGGAAAGAAACTCACACTCTAGAAGGAACATTTTGAAAACATGTTTAGATGCACATCCATCCTGATTCTTTTGATTGCCTCAAACTCTCCTAGCTGTACACTCAAAATAGTTGGAAAGAGAATCTTCTAAATGTTGTTTTTAAAAAAATCTACCAAAGACTTTTTTTAAACCCTCTCAATCAGTTCTGAGTAGTTTATAAGTCAGATTCATTTAAATGCAAAAATTGATGAGCCAGTTTTTAAACAAAAATCGGCAGAAGGACTGAAAAATTTAATTGGCATTTAACTGGCAGAAGGACTGAAAAATGGAGAGAAGGACTTAGAAAGCCTAGCTAATGATGGATGAACTTCCTTCATCTTCATCTATTTGTCTTCGTAAAGCAATCTTTTCATCTACAACAACCAATTCAATCCATGTTCTAAAATAATTTGAACTCCAAACAAGACCTGTGAAGTCTGAATCAGTGTCAGACCTAGATTTTTTAAAATAATAAAGTATAGAGACTTCCCTGGTGGTCCAGTGGTTAAGAATCTGCCTGCCAATGCAGGGGACACAGGTTCTATCCCTGGTCGGGGAAAATCCCACATGCCACAGAGCAGCTAAGCCCATGTACCTCAGCGAAGAATAGCCCCAACTTGCCACAACTAGAGAAAGCCTGCAAAGGTCCTGCAAAAAGGAGGACCCAGTGCAGCCAAAAATAAATAAAGAAATTAAAAATTAATAAATAAAAATAATGAAGTATATGTGATCACTTTGCTCTTATCAAAATTATTAAAATAGTAATAATTATTATAATTGATAAATTGAAGAGTGAGCACAAAATGTTTTTCATACCACTAAAAGGAAAAATTTTGAAAACTTAAAAATACTGTTTTAAAATCTTTAGCTCAGGCTTTAGATTGTTTTGTTCTTGTGCATATTTTATTATATATGACAGCAGTCACATTAACATGGAAAGTGAAAGTGAGGTCACTCAGTTGTGTCCGACTCTTTGCGACCCCATGGACTCCAGCCTGCCAGGCTTCTCTGTCCATGGGATTTTCCAGGCAAGAATACTGGAGTGGGTTGCCATTTCCTCCTCCAGGAGATCTTCCCATCCCAGGGACTGAACCCCGGTCTCCCGCATTGTAGGCAGACGCTTTAACCGTCTGAGCCACCAGGGGAGTCCCAATATGAAAGTAAATACATTTATTTACTTTTCCACACATATATAAGGCACACATATATATTTTGTATGTTCAACATTTTGTTTTAATAGGAGTTCATTATCAAGATGTTTGGTGACCAAGGATCTAGAAAACTCACCAAACTATATGGGCAACCTTATTACTTGATTAACTGGAAGGTGTTACTACGCTGAATTAGTGTCCAAGGGGTCTAGCCCTGGTCCTGGGGCTGAGCAGGGGAGAGGGTGGTGGGTTCAGAGGCCACGACTCTGATGTTGCCAGAGGGCCAGGACTCCTGAGGCTCAGCCTTCCCCTCAGGCGCCCCCTCCCTGCCCCCTACCTTGTTGAGGAACTGGCTCCAACCAGAAGGGCAGCCCCCTGTGGGCGGCGGGTCTGGGGGCTGCTGCTCTCTGGTGCTGTTGCGGCGCTTGCAGATGTAAGGCAAGGCTGTCATGCACCTCTGGTCCCCCCAGTCCTCTGCGAAAAGTGAATAGCAGTCACTCTGAGTGCGGGGCCAGGCTGCCAGCACCTGGCCTCACGCCCTGAGGGGAGGCGGGGCTGGGGCTCGGGTCCTATGTCCAGCTCTGAACTCAAGTCCTCTGCGGCTGCTGGACAGGCACCAGCCCTCCTCTCTCTGGATCCAGTCCTTCTTGAGTTGGGCGAACAGAGAGGATGAGGAGAGACCGAGGGCCCCTGCCCAGGCTCACCTCGCTGCCCCGAACACCAACCCTCCCCTCGGCTTCTGCACCCTCTCTGCCCTACCCTGCCCTCACCTCGGCTGGCCATCATGTACACGCACTTCTTGTCCTTGCCGACGGGCCGAGGTTTGCCAGGGGCCCAGGAGATGAAGTTTATAACAGAACCATCTGTCCACCTGCAATGGTACGAGCAGGAGTGATCCATTACGGGGCACCAGGTTAGACCTCCCCTGAATGCAGAAGCGAGGGGGCAGAGACCAGGGCCCAAATCTAGGGGCTCAGGGCCACAGACTGAGGAGCGAGGCTACTGAGCTCAATGTAGCAGGAACCCAAGGACCCAGTGCCTTCAGGGAAGGCGCAGCCCTCCTGGGCATCCATTTCTCTAACTAGAAAAGAAAGTCTAAGGGTCCCAGAGCAGGAGTCCAGTGGCAACGCTGTGCTCAGACACTCATGTGCTCTCCTGGTCTTCCTGTGCCTCATGCCTGGTAGGTGAGCCCTGAACATGAAGAGGCCCCTCTGGACCATCATGTGTTCTTGCCCATGTCTTGCCCACCTTTTTCATGAGTGACCCCAGCATAATACGAACTGCTGTTATCTAGTGCCTAATAATGTGCTTCCCAGGCAGCTCTGTGGTCAAGAGTTCACCTGCCAATGCAGGAGACATGGCTTCAATCCCTGGGTTGGGAAGATCCCCTGGAGAGTGGCAACCCACTCTGGTATTCTTGCCTGGGAAATCCCATGGACAGAGGAGCCTGGTGGGCTACAGTCCACAGGGTCCCAAAGAGTCAGACACGACTGAGTGAGTAAACAACAATGTGCTGGATGCAGCACGGAGGATTCAGACACCTTATTTTTAGTCCTAAGGACAACCCTACCAGGCAGGCCTCATTGTTTCATTTTCTGGTGAGAAAACCGAGACGGGCCCAGAAAGGTTACGTCACTTGCTCAAGGCCACACAGCCCGCAAGGGGCAGAACTGGATTCAAAACCAAATCTGTCTCTTGTGTGCCATGCTGCCTCTTATTTCCAGCCTGGGTCCCTGCTAGCCATCCACGCATGCGCCGCACTGCCCAGCCACACCCACCGCCCGGCCAGGGCTCCCACCTGAAGCGCCCGTCGCTCTCTGAGGTGTGCAGGCCGATCCACCAGTGCTGCTCCTGGCCCCGAGAGAACTGGGGAAGCCGGGCAGGCAGGTGAGGATTGGCAGGGCCTTTTCCCTGGCTCCCGGGCTGCCCTCCCTGCTTGCTGGCATGCCCACCTTCTGCAGGTTGTGCCCCAGGAAGTCCAGCTCGGCCTGGCTGTGCACTGAGACCAGTTCGGCCTGGAACCACGTGCAGATGCGCTGCGCCTGCGCCCACGTGGAGTGGTGCTCAAAGAACTTATACTCAGCCTCCTGGAAACGCAGCCATTCCCGCCGGCCTGCGGGGGCAGCGTGGGGGTGGAGTCCAGGCTGTGGCTTCCTGCCCGCCCCGCCCGCGGAGGACAAGGCGGGTTCAGGGCAGCCAGGGCAGGCGGGCCTGCAAGCCCATCTGACCTGGGTAATGTGCCCCGATCCCCTTTTCCCTCGGCTCAAACCCCCAACCCCCTTCCTTGCGTCCTGGTTAAGCCCTGCCTCAGCTGGCCGCCACGGGGAGCAGGATGGACAGGAAGCCTCACCTTGCGGGCTGACGTCAGGCTCCCGCACATCCGTGCCTATGGGGACAACAGAGACAGACACGCTGCAGAGAAGGAAGACCCTTCCTTGGACCCTGTGCCCTGCCGCCCGTCATCCCTTGCCGGGTCCAGCAGCGCCGCCCCACCAACCTCGAGGGATCTTGCAGATCCAGTCCAGCTGCGTCTCACACTGCATGGCCACCCACTGCAGGGAGGCCAGGTCGAGCACTGTGCAGCCGCGGATGTTGTCATCGTCGTGCCGGCTCCGGTCGAAATTGTGGTAAGAGAACTGGTGATGTCAGAGGGGAAGAGGGACCTCTGGCACCAGGCACAGGCTGCCCCCACCCCCCAGAACAGACCAACGAGAGGCCTGGCATAAGCTGGGACCCCCCCCCCAAAACCTGGGCTAGGCACCCTTCACCAGCCGGCCCTTGCCATATGCCCTGCTTCTACTGAACCTTGCGCACCTTCAAAAGGCCACGCCCAGTCCAAAAGGCCACGCCCACACCCGGTCCACCCGCCCCGCCTCCTCCAGGCCCCCTCACCCCAAGTCCATCACTCCAGCGCCAGTTCTGCCCGGCTCCGGGGTCTCGACGGTTCAGGCCGATCCAGAACCAGTGCTGCTCGTGGATCTCAGGCTCTGATTCACTTCAGCACAAGCCGGGGGTGCAGACAGAAGGAATGGGGAGGGTGAGAGTTGTAGGGGAATCCTTGGAGCTGTGACTCGGGCAGTCCTGGGGGCCCGGAGCCTCTCCATCTGGGGTTCACACTGAAAACACTGTTGAGGCCACCCTAAAATGTCTTCGAGAGAACTGGGCCAGCTGGGCCGGGCACCCCGCTCACTGATTGAGGGCAGGGGGCCTGGCCCCTTCCACTGCTGCCCTTTGGGGAGGGTGTGTCCCGCCAGCAAGTCTGCAGACTTTCGCTTTAGGAAGTAGACAGGGGCAGTGCATAGACCTGGGGCCGTGGACTCAAATACACCTCGATTCCAGTCCGAGGTCATCCCTGGACCAGCTAGCTCTGTGACCTTGGGCAAAGAAGCCAACCTCTTGATCAGCCCACAAGGGATAATGTTTACTTTGTAGGATCGAGGAGAGCATTGAATGTGGGTTCAATGTTTAGTGCAGTCTCTGGCACACAGTGAGAAGCGATCAACATGGGCTATAATAATCACTAGTCAAATAATATCATTGTGCTGTTTGCTGGGAGGAGACGTCCCTGGAATTAAGATCTCAGGAAGCCTGGATCCATTTGGATGTTTCCCAAGGCTAAGGGATGATGGGGTTGTGTGTCATAGGAACCCACGGGACAGAGACTGGGTTCTGGGGGAACCCCCATGGGTAAATGCTCACTTTTGCAGCCTTTCTCGTCCTGTCTCTCAGGAGAAGCTGTTTGAGAAGTATGGTTTATTATGGGATGGTGTAGGGTTACAGGAGTGGGGGGCACTCACTTGGATAAGCTTCTAGGAGATTGTGCCATGGAGAAGGAAAGATGGTAAGGATTAGGGTTGTATGTGTGCTCAGTCAGTCACGTCTGATTCTTTCTGACCCCATGGACTACAGTCCACCAGGCTCCTCTGTCCTTGGGATTTCCCAGGCAAGAATACTGGAGTGAGTTGCCATTCCCTTCTCCAGCGGAATCTTCCCCATCCAGGGATTGAACCTGCGTCTCCTGTGTCTACTGCACTGCACGGGGATAAGAATCCCCTTTTACTGCTGAGCCACCAGAAAAGCCCCTAAAGGTTAGGGTTAGGTTTGTGTAATCTGAGTCCGAGAGGGTGCTGTTGGCTCAAGTGAGCAACACAGGGTCTCTGACTCCAGCGAGACCAGGGTTACTCAAGTGGGGACAGGACAGGCCTGGCACTAGCAGTGGACACACAGGTCATTCCAAGCCCTGGACAGACCTCTCTGCGGTCACCTTCACCCGGCCCACTGCCCCGTGTCCAGCAAAACCAAGAGCCCCACACACGTGCACGTGGGCCACTGCCTTAAGCTCAGTACCCGAAGATCTTGTTGAGCATATTGGCCACAAAGTGCTCCTCTTCATAGCTGGCCAGGCTCAGCAGCTGGGCCCCCAGCTCCTGGCAGGCCCCCTGGGCCTGGACCCAGGTCTTCTTGTCCTGCAGCCGCTCCGAGCTGAACACCTGCAGGGGTGGAGTCCAAGCTGTCCCTCTGGCCCGCCTCCCCACCGGACGCCTGCCCTCCCAGGACCTGAGTGGGGAGGGGGCTGGGGCTGCACTGGGCAGGGAGTTGAGGCCAGTTAAGACAGCCCTGCTCATCAGAGAGGGAGGGAAACTGGGGCAGGCGCCTCCCCGAGACGGTCCCGATGATCAGTGGGGCAATCAGGGCTCTTATCCCAGCAGAGCCACAGTTGCTGTGGGCAAGGCGCTCCGCTCCCCGGACTTCAGCATCTTTCTAAAGTAAAAGGCCCTGGACTACCTCAGTGGCCCCCAAACCCAGCCAGGTTTAAAAACACAGATTACCAGGCCCCACCACAGCCCACTGAATCCCCATCTCTATAGTGACAGCCTGGAAGACTTTTCAATTTTTTTAAACCGAAGTACAGCAGTACTTTGGTTTAAAACATTGATTTTAATGTTATGTTAATTACTGCTGTACAACAATGTGATTCAGTTATAAAAATATATATGTGTGTGTGCTAAGTCGCTTCAGTCATGTCCTATTCTTTGCAACCCTATGGACTGTAGCCCACCAGGCTCCTCTGTCCATGGGATTCTCCAGGCAAGAATACTGGAGTGGGTTGCCATGCCCTCCTCCAGGGGAATCTTCCTGACCCAGAAATTAAACTCGAGTCACACTATGTTTCCTGCAGTGGTAGGCAGGTTCTTTACCACTAGTGTTACCTGGGAAGCCCATAAATATATATAGATTCTTTTTTAATATCCTTTTCCATTATGATTTATCATAGAACACTGAATATAGTTCTCTGTGCTATACAGTAGGATCTTGTTATTTACCCATGATATATATAACATCATATCTGCTAACCCCAACCTCCTCCTCCATTTCTCCCCAACCCCCTTCCCTTGGCAACCACCAGTCTCTTCTCTACGTCTGTGATTTTGTTTCTCTGTCATAGATAGGTGCATCTGTGTCACATTTTAGATTCCACATATAAGGGATCACGTATAAATCAGGCTCCCTGGGCAATTCTAAAGAACTGCCAGCCTGGCCCCAACATTTGAGTGTCTCTAAAACTGATGGTCTCTGGGGGTTTTTCAATTCCTCAATTGTTTATTGAGCACCTGCTATGCACCAGGCCTCAGAGGACACTGACAAGAGTTTCAACAGAAAGGACCTAAGGGGAAAAGTTTCTCTAGGGTCCACCTGCTTGGATCATGGCTGGGTCCCACCGGGACCACACCCTCCTGCCCCCCACCCAGGGATACTGTCTCTTTGCTCTCATTTCTCTTCCCCACCCCGAGGCCCACAGGCTGCCTACCTTATAGCAGTGCCGGAGTTTGGGATCTGAGCCCCAGCCCTGGGGACAGGCGCCGGTGAGGCTGGGTGTGGGGTCTGGCCCGGGCAGCTCAGGCGTCACGGGCGTGCCCAGGCTCTGGCGGCAGATGTAGCGAGCCCGGAACGATGTGCAGTTCTTCACCTCCCACAGCCCCATGGCGCTGCCCGTGGCCAGGGCCACACAGCCCCCACGGCTGTACCCTGCAGGAGGGAGGGGGAACCCACACACTGAGCCCTCCCTCACGTCCCCGAGGGGCACCTCCATGGCCCCCACATGGGGAGCCAGCTGGGCCATCTCTGCAGGGACACGCGCTGCGGGGTTGGGGGCGGCGGGGCTGGAGAGCAGGAGGGAAATGGAGGCAGAAGCCTCACCCTACGTTGACTCCTGTGAGATCTTAGGCAAGCTGCTTAACCTCTCTGAGCCTGTTTCATCATACACTCCAACTTTGAAAGGGCTTAAAAAAGATAACAGTGGACTCGCGGTTAAGAATCTGCCTTCCAAGGGATGTGGGTTCCATCCCTGGTTGGGGAACTAAGATCCCACATGCCGTTGGGCAACTAGAGAAGCCTGTGTACCTCGACCACTGAGCCCTCAATGAAGACCCAGCACAGCCAAGAATATAAATTAAAAAAATAAAAGATTTATAAAAAATGTTTTAAGATAATAAATGTGAAATGGAATAACAGCAAGCACTTGTCCTATGCCCACTATTCCAAAGGCTTTACATATATTAACCCATTCAAGCCTCACATCAACCCTGTGAGGAAAGTACCATTATCCCCATTGGACAGATGAGGAAACTGAGGCTCAAAGATGGGCAACTAATAAACTGCAGTCAGGACCTGAGCCAGGCATTTCAGCTCTGGAGTCCATCCTTCTAACCATATCACCACACTATGAATGCTGTCTCCTATGAAGCCCTGGGTCTCGGTCATGGCAGGGGTGGTCCACCACGGCCCTCCCAGCTTCAGCAAGGCACCGCCAAGAAGGGGGCTGAGCGAGGGGCTCACCGGGCTGGTCCCGGTTCCAGTGGGTGTACATGACCTCGTCCCCGCTGAGCCAGCGGAAGGAGCCGGTGAAGTTGAGGTCCTGCAGGGCCGTCCAGAAGTACTCGCCATCCCAGTTGTAGATGAGGCTGCTGACAAAGGCCTGCTCGAACCTGCGGGAGAGAGGCTGGTCAAGGCAGGCAGCTCAACCCCCACCGCTCCCAGGGCCCCAGGCCAGACACCCTGCTTCGGGAGCCTGGGTGCTGCACATCAGAAACTTGCTCAGGGAAGTGGGGACCCCTGGGAAAGCTGCAGCTGACACAGCTGACCCCCACTGCTGTCTGCATCTCCACGCCTTGCTGAGAGAAAAATCAGACACAGCCAACTCTTGCCTGGAGAATTCCAAGGACAGAGGAGCCTGGTGAACTACAGTCCGTGGGATCGCAAAGAATCAGACAAGACTGTGCGACTCACTTTTCAAGGCCTCTTTGGGGCATCCATCCAGCCCACACGGAGGCCCGTTCCTGTGTCCCGTCCCCCTCCCCAAGCCCCCCCCCCCAACTGCCCCATGCTGGGGTCGCTTAATAAACAAGAATCATTCTTATGATAATATTAGACAAAGGCCCTGGAGACAGTCGAAGCTCAAAGGGACTCAAAGCTCAAGTGCCTCTGCACTTGACGGCAGGATGCTGGCCCTTCTGGTGGATGGACCGCATTCGACCAGGACATCGGGGCGGGCTGGCCCTCCTCATACCTGTTGGTGATGGTGACCAGCTGAGAGCCGTGGTCGGTGCAGAGGCGCCGGGCCTCGCTATAGGTCACCGGGTCCTCTCCCAGCCAGTAGCAGGAGGGGCTGTGCCACGTCCAACCCTGGCTCAAGAGAGTGGGCAGAAAAGGGGGTGTCTGGAGGAGGGCTGCTTCTCTCTCACCCCTAAATCCCGGGGTGGGGATGCCAACAGAGGCACCGCTGAGCTTTCTTCAGGCTTGGGCACAGGACCGAGGGGGCTGGTTTGGCACCAGAGCCAGCTGTTCCTATGCTGCGTCTGCACTGTGCCACGCCACACTGCCCTGCCCACCATCACCCACAGCTGCCAGGTTCAGGGTGGGTGCGTGGCCCAAGGGAGGCAGCCAGTCACCCGGCCTGGGGCCCGGCCAAGAAAGAGGAGTGGCCCACTGGACTCTCCTCTTGGGTATTTGAACCAGGAGACATATTGGGAAAACTGCCAGCTGGCTGGGAAATGAGAGCTGAAAAGCTGGGAGAGCGGCCAGCAAGTGGAGGGGGCTGGTCGGTCCTCAGGGGCCTGGAGAAGCTGGAGTAATGGAATGGAGGCGGCGCCCGCTTGAGCGCGGTGGGGGCGGAGAACAAACCCTCAGTGAGGGGCAGCAAAGTTGCAGTAGACCGCCCTTCCTTCAAGGCCCGCTTGCAACCCGCCCCTCCACCCACCCCAGAAGACCAGGGAGGCTTTACCCCACCAACCCGCAGCCCCCTGGGTCGCCCTGAGGGCCTCTCCGTCCCTGCCTTGCAGACAAGGACCCGAGGCTCTGAGACATTACATGACTTGATTTTTTACAGACAGTACAGGTGGAGCCCAGGCCTGAACCCACGCCACAGACACTGTGTCCCTCCCCGCCACAGCCCTGCTCCTCCTAAAATTTTCCCGGGTGCCTCCCAGGGTCTTAGCCTCCAGCAGGCCTTCGAGTGGGATACCTGGGGGGTGGGGGCTGGAGCCCAGGAGAGAGGCGAGGCGGGGGGAGGGGGGCAGCCCCCTGGGCACAAGCCAGTTCAGAACAAGCTGGTGTGTGTATATGTGTGTTTATGTATGTGTAGATGTATGTGTTTAGTCATATTTATGTTTGTGTATATGTGTATGTGTGTTTATGTGTGTAGATGTCCATGATGTTTAGTCTCTGAGTCATGTCCAACTTTTTGAGACTCCATGGACTGTAGCCCGCCAGGCTCCCCTCTCCATGGGATTTTCCAGGCAAGAATACTGGAGTAGGTTGCCATTTCCTAGTCCAGGGGATCTTCCCAACCCAGGGATCGAACCAACATCTCTTGCATTGGCAGGCGGATTCTTTACCACGGAGCCATCAGGCAGGGAAGCCCGTGTGTGTGTGTGTGTGTGTGTGTGTGTGTGTGTGTTTATGTGTGTGTATGTGCCTATTGTGTATGTGTGTATGGATATGTGTCTATGTGTGGATACATGTGTTTATGTGTGTATGTGTGTTTGGGGGGCTTCCCTGGTGGCTTGGACAATAAAGAACCTGTCTGCAATGCAGGAGACCTGGGATCAATTCCTAGGTTGGGAAGATCCCCTAGAGAAAGGAATGGCAACCCATTCTAGCATTCTTGCCTGGAGAAATCCATGGACAGAGGAGCCTGGCAGGCTACAGTCCACGGGTCACAAAGAGTTGGACACAACTGAGTGACTAACTTTCTCTTCATTTTCGTATGTGTTTACATGTGTATGTATATGTGTGTATGGGGGGCGGGGCACAGATCCCCATATTCCAGCAGGACTGTGCTAAGACCCCTGGCTCTCCTGGGGTGTTAACCATGGCGGCTCAACAACCCCCCACCCATTCCAGGCCGGCCCTGGTGCGGGGCAGTTAGTAATAGCTCCTCTGCCTCACCCAGCCTGGTCAGAGCCCCCTGCCAGCCCCTGACCACGCTGGCCCCCACACTCTTCAGCCCGGCCCCATGTGCTCTCCCTTCCTCCCCACTGGAGCTCATGCCTGCGGGCATTTCGTGCTCTCCCCCTAGGGGAGAGTTTGGGGTGCAGGTGGGTGGGTGTGATAAGGGGCTTAATCCAAAGGAAAACAGAGTGAGGAACGAGACTGGCAGTGAGGGGCTGGCAGAAGGAACGTGGCTTCGGCAGAGGGAGCTGCCAGGGGCCCAAACACCACAAAGTGGCCTTTATGAGCAGCCTGCCCACATAGTCCTCACTGCTCACGTCCCTGCTTGTCAGGGCGGCAGCGGTGGGTGGGGGGGGTGGCCGGGAGGGTGGGAGGCACGGGGCTGGAGGAGGGAAACAGGTCACTCACCCTCACCCTCACTCACACCCTCTCTCCCCGACTCATTCATTACCCCATTCAGTCCTAACCCCTCCTCTCCTTAGGGCTGGAGCACAGGGGGGAGACCCAGGGCGGCCTGGTCCCCGCCCCCCGCCCCCCAGGAGAAAGACAGAGACACGCTGTGTCCACCGCTGGTGTGCGTGCCAGCAGACGGGTGGGAGAACGGGGGGTGGGGTGGAGGGAGGGTACACAGAGGAGCCCTAGGTGGTCCCCAGCAGCCTCCACGCAGGTGATGACTGGACCAGCCTTGAGGGTGGGGGGCCCGCCCACCCCCACCTCCAAATTCTCAGTGGCTTTCCATGGAGAGGGGGCTCAGGGCTGGGGTGGGGTGAGGAGCTCCGCTTCCTCCCTACAGCCTTCCACCCCCACCCACCTCATCCTGTATCACTCCTTCTGGACGGAGCAGTTTGGAGGGCGGGAGAAAGGGAGGGTGCCACAGGAGGCTGGGGATCCCTCCTGCCCCCGGGAGCCCCTCTGGCTGGCCCCACCCAGGGCAGCTCCAGAAGCACCCTCACCTTCCGGCAGCCGTGGTCCTCCTCGGCGGCCCCCTGGCTCAGCTGGCCCGCCTTCTTGCAAATGGACGGCAGGGACTGGTTACAGGGGCTATCGTTCCAGCGACCTTCCTAGGGACACAGGGCGAGGGGCAGTGTCAGTCTCCCTGCCCCAAGTCTCCCAAACCTGGCCCTGCCTCTGACTTGCTGGGCGATTCTGAGCAAGAAGCTTGACCTGTCTGTGCTCCATGGTGGAAACGGGGGATGTGCAGGATTAGTGCCATAAGCCTCACTAGGCTGATGCGAGCACACACAGGAGCTGTGCCAATGCCTCCAAACTTTGACAAGCACTGTCAAAATGGAAAAGGTGCTCTTTTAAATTACCTCACTTCATAAATACCAAGGACACCACGCTGGCTAAGACCACTGGCAAGACAGATGAGATTCCCAGTTTGGCAAGATGTCCAGTCAGTACTTGCAGATCCAGGGCAAGCAGAGGCTGTGTGCCCAGACCCTCCCCTCGCTGATGGAGCCGCAGAGGAACTCAGTCCTCATCTCCCCCTAAAGGCCTGTGTTCAGTGCACCCAGCCAGCCGTTTCTGTCTGCCTTGAGCGCCATCCAGAGGGCAGAGGTGTTTGTGTGTCTCAGCCCCCAGGAAAACGCGCAGTATTTAGCAGATGCTCAATAAAAGCACGCGTTGTCAGTCGTGTCCAACTCTTTGCAACCGCACGGACTATAGCCCGCCAGGCGCCTCTGTCCGTGGAATTTCCCAGGCGAGGATACTGGAGTGGGTAGCCATTTCCTAACTGTTAATAAACTTTTAAAGAGCATCCTCTAAGCCAGATGCCTCTAGAGTCCCTGGCACTGCTGGCTGTATCTCAAGGTAGAATGTCCTGTCTCTGAGGAAGGCAGTCTGTCCTACAGTTTTGTCTTTTAAGGAACAGACTTAACTCTGTTTGAAACCCTGTATAAATTCCTTCATCTGCCCACACTGTCTGAGCCACAGCCATGGCAAACAGTCACAAGGCCACCATTTCTTCAGAGGACAGGACCCCGGGCTGGGGCAGGGCTGGCAGGGAGCAGTCCTGCCTGGGGAGCTTGTCACACAATGTGGGTTCTGACGCCACCTGCTGGCGGGGAAGTGCAGCCCGCAGGGGACCAAGATCGTTGCCAGGCGACAAATGTCCAAAGGTTTCATTTAACTCCTTTAATCCTCGTGAAGACCCTCTGAGGTTGGCACCTTTAGAGTTCCACTGACAGCTAGGAAAACTGAGGGTAAGGAAACTCAGCTAAGGAAACCGAGGCACAGAGAGGTTAAGTAGCTTGCCCAAGGTGACCCTGCTAGTTGGAGGTGGAGAGGAGATTCAAACCCTGGCAATCTCTCCAAGTGGAAGGGAAGGAGACACGATGGGGAGAGGGGACTTCCGAGAGGCAAGGGGGTGGTGTCACAAGCAGGAGCCAATAACGGGACATCCTTCCGCTGCGGTGGCACGGGGAGGCTAGGTCTGGGGGCCCTGTGATAAGGAGAGAGGGTTCTTACCGGCCCCCAGATGGTGACACAGTCCTCCAGGCTGTCCCGGAAGTTGTTGGGCTCAAAGGGGTGCCAGTGGGTGAAGCTCACGAGGCTCCCGTCGGACCACTCAAAATTCATCTGAAGTTTCAGGTCGTTGAGACCAATCCACAGCTCCTCCACCTCTGGGGGGGTGCGGCAAGGGAGAGGGGACGTCAGGAGGTCGGCCTTCTCCACTGGCAGGGGAGGCGAGGACAGGAAGCCCGGGAAGGGCTTGGGGAGACAGCTCCTCACCCTGTTTGATCTGCTTGGTGATGAACTCCAGCTCTGCCATACTGTGAATGCTGAGTAAGTCGCCCCCGCCCCGCAGACACATCTTCTTGGACTCCTGCCAGCTGCGCTTCTCAGCCTGCAGGCGGTAGCAGTGGCCCTGGAAGGCCTGCCAGCTGGGCTCACACTCCACCTTCACGTTGGCCCACACATCTGCGGAGACCAGAGAGGCCGCTGCTCAGGGGCCGAGACGCCCAGCATGGGCTCGGACCCCCTGGGTGTCAATACAGACAGGGCCCTGAAGTCCACCTCCTCCCCAAATGTGTCTTAGATCCAACTCTTCCCACCAAGACAGGTCTGAGTACCAAAGGATGTTGAAAAGACAAAACCCTCAGGGCAGCTGGAGTCCCAGGAGGCGGTGGCAGATTCCACTCAAGGCAAGATGACCCCTCCCGCTGGGGCTCTCAGAGGAAAAGATGGATGGGGACTCAGGACAGAACTGCCCCGAGAGCCTCAGTTTCCTCCTCTGTAAAATGGGGCTTCCTGCTGTAAGATTCCAGCTTAGCTCATGTCCACCTCACTTAATAAATGACACCGCCAACACTATCTCAAAGGACATCTATGGGGACTTCCCCAGTGCTCTGGTGGCTGAGACTCAAGCTCCCAATGCAGGGGGGCCTGGGTTCATTCCCTGGTCAGGGAACTAGATCCCACATGCCGCAACTAAGAGTCTGCATGCCACAACTAAAGATCCTGTGTGCTGCAACTAAAAAAGAAAAAAAAACCACATGCCATAACAAAGATTGAAGGTCCCACCTGTCACAACTAAGATCCGGTGCAGCCAAATAAATAAATATTTTAAAAAAAGAAAGAAAGAAAAGAACACTATGGAGCAGGGCCCGATCAGTCCAGGATGAAGCAGTTGGGGAAATACACCCCCCTCCCAAGTCAGCAGCTCATGAAGTCAATGCCACGCGGCCCTGCTGGTTGAAATTTGTGCTCTCATTCCCTCCCCCACCACTTTTCCTCTCCCTGAACCCCAGGGCTGAGAAACCGACCGGTCTTAGGCCCCTCCTCACCCCCATCTCCGTGCATTTCAAGTTCACCCTCTAGGGATTGGGGTCCCAGGGCAACTGATGCAAACAAGCTCTCACTTGGGCCTTGGCAAGAGAAAACAGGACTTCATCAAACCACCCACAACATCGGGCTCGGGCAGGATTCTGCCTGGCTGGGCAAGAGAGCATGTACCCACTTGAAGCAGCGCCCCACTGGGATCCACTCCATCCTGGGAGATGCTCCAAGGACCGGCCATACTGTCTCTGGCAGACCCGACAAAGTGGGGAGGGCTGAGAGCCTGAACGGGCTCCCTCAGTGGCTCAAGACCTGTCAATCATCTCTTGTCAGCAGCTGAGCTAAGACCTGAGGCTGCCACCTGGACAGAAGAGTTTGGTGGGAGGGAGGAAGCTCAGGAAACGTGGACGCTTCAGGGGCCCGATGGCGCCTGCCTCTGAAATGACATGCTTTGAGTGATGAGTGCTGGAAGGCCGGACCCACCCAAGAAACTGCTTAGAAAATAACACCTTGGGACTCCCCTGACGGTCCGGGGGTTAAGATCCTGTGCCTCCACTGCAGGGGGCGCGGGTTCCATCCCAGACTGGAAAACTAAGATCCCACATGCCATGCAGTGTAGCCAAAAGGAAAAAAGAAAATACGCCTCACACAGAGAGATGTGGGATGAAAGAGGAAATCCAAGGCTAGAGACATATTTGCAGGTCCGTGAGGCCCCAGGGGAGGGCTCCCCACAGCAGCCACGCTGGGCAGATCCAGGGTACGAGGACTTGGTGAGGAGCCAGGCCTGAAGGGGGCCACAGGGGCAAGGCCTGCCCACACCAGCCCCGTGACCCTCCTTTCTTTGCCTGCCCCAGGCTCCCCCGTGTCCACCCCCAGGGGGAGGTGAGGTGCCCTCGATGTGGGCACCAATGTTTTAAACCTTTGCTCCTGATCCCCTAGGGGATGAGGGGAGAGAGCAGTGGCCAATGGCCCTGAATCCACCTTTGGCAAGACTTTAATGGTCAGAAGCAAACGTCTGCTCTGTAAGCTCTACACTTTCTGTGTTTCATGAATTTCTGTTTTGTCTTGCTGTGTTTTCTTTACACAAATCCCCTCCTCACCCCATGGTGACCAGACTCCTGCAGAAGCCCGCCCCTCCAGCCCATGGAGATGCTCCTCTGAGCCAGGCCGGGTCTCCAGCCTTTCAACAACCCTGCAGGGGATGTGAGTTTACCCTCAATCAGCACCTCTGAGACTAAGCTGCCGGACGAAGGCCACACCCCAACGCGGCACCCTGCCCCTAGAGCTGCCTCGGTGAATCACAAATGTGAGCAAGACACTCCCTGCCTTAAAAGCCTGCAAGGCTCCCACAGCCTACCTGGCCCCACCTGAATTTCACCCGGAAGCCAAAATCCTTTAGGGGCTGGCTGCAACCTGCCTTTCTGAACAGTCCATGTCCTGTGCCCGCTAAGCCAGTACTTCTCAAACTCCACACCAGTCACCTAAGATCTTGTGAAATGCAGCTTCTGGTTCAACTAATTGGGGGGGGGGGGAGGCACCTGAGAGTCTGCATTTCTAATAAGCACTTATAACATCACTTGGGAAGGTGCTGTTGGTGCAGGGACCACACTTTTTTTTTTTAAGTTCTCACATAATGTACTATTATGGACGACTGTTCTGGAAAAACATGGACAGCCTGAATGCATTTGGGACCCATCACAGACACTTAGACATACACCATAGTGTGAAAGGAGGATTCGATGACACGTGATGTTGGGCCAGCCTGTTCCAAAAGCAAGCTGAGAATCAGGGCAACCAACACAGCTCCCTGAGGGGACCCTTGGGTGTGTTCCTTGCTGCCCTGTGGGTGGGGTGCCTCGTCCACGCTGGCAGCACCCATCTCCTCTGTTAAACCACAGCAGCAGCAGAAAACGGGAACACTCCTTTGGCGGTTTTTTGTTCTGTTTTTGCAGGTTCCCAGTTTCTTTAATTTCCATCTTCCTTTTCAGAATTCAGTTCCAAGTTCTTAAAGTAGTGTAGGTGTCTAGCATCTTTCATGAATTTTTCAGGAGCCAGTTCTGCTCAATGACAGTGCCCTGCGCCCAGCCCACTTACGGGCCCTGCTCGGAGGGCATGCTCCCCTCAGCCCAGCTGCTGGCTTTGTGGTCCTCCTTGCAGGGAACACGTCCCTTCTTGCTTGATTCAGAAGGCCCTTTGGCTCTGGCTTTTTCTGTCCTCTGTTGTTGCTTTTCAAGCTTCGACAGGTGTTCTGGATCAGAGGCAACAGCACCAGGGGCTGGAGATTCCAGTTCTGAATGTGGACTTGCAGGGAGGCACTGAACTTGCCATCTTTGATGAGCTCTGGCCTCTCCGCCTTGCACAGCAGCTCCAGGAAGCCCCTGTAAAAGGCCTCAGCCTGCCCCGCGGGCATGGCCAGGTGGAAGTCGGGCTCGTTGCCCTTGAGGACGCGCTGCAGGGAGGACTTGCTGACAGCACATCATACTGCTTGTCCATCACGCTCTTCGGCCAGTGTTTTCCACTTTCAGCCTCAAACACATGCAGGTTTAAGATCTTCCAGACCACGTCTCCAGTTCTTTCTATGTATCTTCCAGGGAAATACCCAGCAACACGCCGATGACCCCTCTGATGGCTCCTATCTGCTCTCCTTCAACTGCGATGCTGGCCTGGGTGACGCGCGGCACCACGGCCTTCGTGGTGGCAGCTGGGACAGGGACCACGCTTTTAAGTAGCGTCCATCTGTACTCTAACCCTCAGGGGGCAATCCTCACCAATCTTAGAGCAGCTGTGACCTTCCAGGTCTCCGAGCCTCTGCACCTGCCCTTCCCTCTGCCGGTCATGCCCTCCCCCCACACCACTTTATGCCATTTTAAACTTACACTTCACTTCAAAGGCCCAAATCCAATGTCACTTCCTGGAAACCCTCCTTAGCTCTCAGGAGCTTCATCAATTTCCTCTCGAAGCCCTCTAATATATATTCTATTTTTTATAATAACTCTGGATATTCTGTTTGTGTGTTGACATGTCCATCACCTGCAGCAGACTGTGACCACCGGGAGGACACGATGGGTTGTGAAGCACTTAACACAGTTCCCAACAAACGTCCCGGAATGAATGAATAGCACGCCTCAATTTGTTCAGATTTCAGCGGAACCATTTAAGAAGGGGGAAGATCAGAGCCCCCTGTGCTGTGAGGGTGGGTGGGCAGTGGCGGCGGCCTGAGGAGCGCCCCCCCACCCATGTCTACCCCACTCACCGGGAGGCGGGGGCTCGGCGGCCGTGGCGTTGGGCTTCTTTTTGCAGACGTAGGGCAGCGCGATGCTGCAGTCGCGGTTCTGCCAGCCGCCCGACGACTCCGTGCGGATCACCCCGCAGTTCTCCTCGCTCGGGTTGTCCGGCTGATCTGTGGGGAGTGCAGGGCGCCAGCGCCCCAGGGGAGAGGAACTCACCCCCTGGCCCGGGAGCCCTCCCCCAAGCCTCGCGCTTCCCCGGAAGCCTGAGCCTGCTCAGATGCCCAGCGCTGCGCTTTGGCTCTCCTGCCTCCTCGCCGGGGCTCACGCGGTCCTCGACCCTCTGCCTTGGCCAGGCTGCTGGCGTGCTGAGGGCCCCCATGCCCGTGGCTGAAGGGGTGCGTGGGGATGAAATCCAGTCCACCTCCCAGGCCCAGTGCCCCCAGGAAAGGGCACCATTTGTAATTCAGACAACGTGCTGCACGGACCATTGGCACTCAATCCGAAGTGGGTGCAACTCTGCTGGTCTGGAGTAGGGTATCAGGGAAGGAGTCCCTAGGAGACCAAGTGCTTGTGGGGTCCCCAGGCCGCCCTGCACCCCAAACCCGGCGCCTCACCACTCTCCCAGTTGAGGTACTTGAGAGGCGAGTTGTCTGACCACTGCCAGCCTCCACTGGTGTCCAGGTCATTAAGGCCGATCCACAGCGTGGAGCTGTAGCCAGTGAGGAGCCCTGACCACAAGAGGGCGACAGTGGGGGGGGGGGTCGCCCGGGCCCCAGCCCTCCACTCGCTGCCCCACCAGCTGCATCCTGCCCTCCAGCAGCACGAGGAAGGGCTCAGGGCCCCCTCCAAAGGTGGGGACTGGTCTCGGGGTCCTGCCCGCTGCCCCCTCCCCCGGCCTCACCATTGATGTAGGTCTGCTCGTGGATCTCCGTGATGCTCAGCAGGTCTGCCCCCTGCTGCTCGCAGCTGGCCCAGGCCTCCCTCCAGGACAGCGTGGACTGGAAGTTGAACTGATAGCAGCTGTCCGTCAGCTGGTCCTTGTCCCAGAAGGTCTCGCAGTCGTTACCTGCCACCACGACAACCAGGTGTGGGTCCCGCCCCGGCCCGCTTTGCGGGGTCCAAGGGGAGGTCCCTCAAGGAATAGGCAGAGACTCTACGGAGGTGGGGGGTCGGGGCACTTCTCACTCGAGTCCGGAAAGTTCTGCCACCCACACCCGCCGCACTCCCCAGCCCAGGCCGACCTCCCTCACCCTTGATGGGGCAGAAGCCCCAGCGCTCGTCCTTGCCGTAGTCCTGGGTGGTGGCGCACCACAGGTGCCCATCCTCGCGGCCCGTGCTGGTGCAGCCGTGGAACCACTGGTTGTCATACTTGAAGGGGATGGTGCACGGCTTCCCGTGGGAGTTGCCCTGGATGGTGTAGACCTCTGCAGGAGAGGGGAGCCAGACCCTTGGCATCTGGGCCCCAGAGGCTGCCCAGCCTGCTCATCCCTCAGTGAAAGTCCCCTACAGCCCTGGGAGCTGGGGTGGGCAGGGGTCAGCAGAGAGAGGGAGGGGGCAGCGATGCCAGACAGTGGCCAGAAAGGCTGCCTCTGCCCTTGGGTCAGCCCAGGAGCCTGCGAGAGGTCCCGCTGCTCAACCCATCGGGCTGGGAAGGGGGGTCCCCCAGGGCCCCTAACACCTGTCCAAAATCCAGCTGCCTCACATGCCAAGTTCCATCTTGGCACTCTAGGAGGTATCCCGGGAAAGGGCCCCCAGGATGGAGCGGCCCACCAGGAAAGGCCTCTCACTAGGTGACTCCGGTGCCCATTCACCCCTGCAGAAGGGGGATGGAGACACCTGTGGATGGTGACCCTGGGGTCTCCCTTGAAGAGTGGGTCTGAGAGAGAAGCGATTTCTCTTTTAGTTGTACGTTATACACTTTTGAACTGACCAAGGTCTTTACAAGAGTGTATCAGGTTTTGTCTTTTTTAAGGCAAATTAAATGCTCTGAAGTTCATTTTCTCCATGATCCCCAAATGGTTCCCATGACGATGAAAGAGTTGACTGCCAGAGGCCTGTGGAGGCCAAGGTTTTGTCTCCCCACGTCTGTCCCTCGTGGCTCCAAGCCCCTGACACCAGGGGCAGCCTCTCACCATAGTAGGGCCGCGCACACAGGTCCTCGTCGCTGCCATAGAGGCGCCATTGGCCACTGCGGGTCTGGTCACCGCGCTCGGAGGTGCCAGCCTTGGATGCATTGCTGGAACGGCCCCCCAGGAGCAGGGACAGCTGGTCGCCCAGGGTGCGACAGTTCCAGCGAAGATTCAGTGCCTCACGGTCACACTCGTACATGCCCAGGGAGGCGGTGGTGTTGGTGCCCGGCCAGCCTGTGCCCAGGCACTGCATGGTGCCCAGGTTGAAGAGCCGGTTTCGAGAGACCCACTTCCAGCGCTGGGCAGGAAGGCTGGCGTTGCAGGCAGGGGAGACCCGGACCTGCCCTCCCTGGGCCTCCAGGCAGCCCTGCAGTCCATGGCTGAAGATGACAAAGACGTTGGGCTCTAGAAGGGAAAGCAGGACACAAGGCCATCACGGGGGTCTCCTGGCTGCTGCTGACGGCCAGGCTGCCTGCAGACACTGACCCTGGTACTGGGTTGTGAGCCTTCTCTCCTATGATAAATCACTCCATCCTCACAACCAGCCCTTTGCGTGGGGTGGTGAGAGGCACGGCTGACCCCCTGTGCCCAGTCAAGGCAGAGCCCACATGGCCAGCCTCTGCCCTGGTCCCACAGCACCTGGAGGAGGACTCAGCCTTCCATCCTGCCTCCCCCAAAGCAAACCCAATTCCACATGGCAAGTTGGGGACTGTTTACTTTTATGAAGATCTTAGGAGGAGGGGGAAGGTGTTTACATCACACACCACACTGCAGCCTTTATCCCAACCTCTGTTACATGGAGTTGTTTTTCCACCAAAGTTCTCCAGCCTGAAATTGCTTTGTCTCACTCCTCCCCCACTGCTCCTCACAATCACTGGCTCCATCTTTCCCTCTCATTTAGAATCTTCCCAAACCACTCGCCATGCCCGCCCCCAGCATTCACTTCCAACCATTCACTTCCCATAACCATGTCACTCCTGAGATTTTAGACAGCACTTAGCTCTCTTGCCTTCCCCAGTCTTGCATCTTCTCACCCATCATCTCGCTGAGCAGATACTCTATGAAAGACAATGAAGTCCAACCTGCCCTCCGCCAAACATTGATGAAGAAATCAAGATTTAAATTTATAGGAGGTAGATCAGTGGTTCCCTGGGGCTCGGCTGGGTAATGGGAATGGGAGTGGCTAAGAAAAAGCACATGGTTTCTTTAGGGGGTAATGAAAATGTTCTAAAATCAAATTGCCATGGGACTTGCCTGGTGGTCCAGTGGCTAAGACTCTGCACTCCTAGTGCAGAGTGCCCAGGTTCGATCCCTGGTCAAGGGAACTAGATCCTACATGCTGCAACTAAGAGTTCACATGCCACAGCAAAGACTGAAGATCCCTCTTGCTCAACTAAGACCCAGAGCAGACAAATAAATAAATAAACCCAATCGTTTAAAAAATAAAATTAGATTGTCATGATAGTTGCACAGTTCTGTGAACATACTAAAACCCAATTAAAGGCATATTTTAAATGGGTGAGTTTTACGAGATGTGAATTTTATCTCAAGACTTTTATTATATCTTTAAGGTTTTGAGAGAGAGAAATGAAGAGAAAGGAAGAAACTGACATGCGTTTGAGCCACAAAGTGACCCAGTCATGGTACCACACAACCAGGTCTCTATGACATCACGTTTTGTGCCCTAGCTGCCACTGAGTACAACAACACACACACAGCACATCCCAGGCTCCAAAGCACTTCTGCATCCGCTAGCCACTGGCTCTTCAGGATAATTTTCATGCCTGAAAAGCATGAGTCTGACTGGCAGGGTTCAGACCCCAGCTATGCCATTTAATGTGTGAGGTGGGTGCATTGTTTAGCTCCCTCATCATGAAACTATTGTAAAGGTTAAATGAGATAATACATGTAAAGTGTTTGGAACAGGGTCCAGCACATAATAAGAGCACCATAAATGTTACTGATGATGATGATTCCATACTACAGGCAAAGAATTTGACTATGGGTAGTATAAGAGTTGGACCAGAGTCTTGAGGCTGAAATCTGGCCTCCCATCTTCTGAGTCCAAACCCCAAGACCTTTCTGTTCCATCATGCCGGCCTTGTCCTCCCTCTGCAAGCCATTCATCATGGCCAAGCAGCATGATCTTTTAAAGATAAATAAATTCTAAAAAAAAAAAAATTTTTTTTAAATAATATTGGAGTGTTCTGTGCTCCCAATGCAGGGGGTCCAGGTTCAATCTCTGGTCAGGGAACTAGATCCCACATGCTGCAACTATGCCCTGGAACAGTCAAATAAATATTTTAAAAAATAATAATAATACTGGCGTGTTGAAAGTTGTAAAGAAAACAGTGATAAGTTCAGTAACATAATTTTTTTCATGGCACAAAAAATGCTATAAAAACAATCAGAATTCAAGTGACAAAAATACATGTAACTTACTAGAGGCAAATAGTTTATTCCCTAAAATGAAAACAGCTTCTACAAAAAACTATAATAAATTAGGAGTAAAATGGCACCAATATAGTAGAAATGAGTAAAAGACATGTATACACAGCTAAAACAAATGAAATGTAATTGGCTGTTAAATATTTGAAATGACAGCTTCTCTCAAAGCAAAAGAAAAAGCAATATGTCATGTTAGTCTCTCTCCTGCCTTCAAAGGCAATTCATCATTCTATAAATGAAATTCAAACTCCTTGCTATGAGCCATCAGATCCCACATGTTCTGGTCCTGCTAACCAGTCTAATCTCAGATCACACTACTCCCCCTTGCTTAAGTTGCACGGACCTCCTTGCCCTTCCTTGAACAGGCCTGACTCTTTCCTGCCTCAGGGCCTTTGCACTACTTCCTCTGTCTGCCATTTCACATTTCAGAAAAAAAAAAAGTCACATCTTGGGGACTTGCCCACTGGTTAAGACTCTGCATTCCCAATGCAGGGGGCATGGGTTCAATTCCTGGTCGGGGAACTAGGATCCCACATGCTCCTGCATGCCACACGGTGCAGCAAAAAATAAACAACGCAGGTGCCCAGGCACCACTCCAGAGACTGATTTAATTGGCCTGACATTGGCATTTAAAAAGTCACATCTTTAGAGAGGCCTTCTCCGACTTCCATATCTAAAGTAGTCACAGTTACTCTCTAGCAAATTCTCTCCCCAGCATTTATTGTTATCTGACATTTTTCCAACATCTGGGCTATCTGTGAGTCTGGGTCTGCTGACTATTTTTTCTGTTGATTATTCCTGCTGTTTGCATGTATAGTAAATTTTATTACATACTGGACATAGGGGATAATGTTACCAGGAGCCTGTTTCTTTTGTATTATTATTATTGCATATTGGACTTGTGGATGACATGTTATAGGGAGTCTGGCGCATTATCTTCCTTAAAAGAATGTGGAGTTTTGTTGTGGCAGGCAGTTAAACTGCTGGTAGATCATCCCGATTCTGCAGGGGCTTGGTTTTGCTAGGGTGGGGCTGTTCGGGTTTTTAGTTTAGTCTTAAGGTGTGGCCCTTAACCTTGGGTTTAATCATAAGGTGAGGCCCTTCTAGCATTTCAAAAGAAAACCTTAGGCAATTGCCAAGCTCCTCTAACTCAGTGGAACTTGAATTCCAAACTCCTGTTTTCTCAGCAGCAACTGAAATCTCTTCTTCCCCACTGCTGTTTCCTGCTGGGTTCCCTAAAGCGTCCCTCTGCCCATGCACAGTTTCGAGCTGCCAAATATTTGAGGAGAATTTGTATGAGGACATCTCTTGCCTTTCTAGGATTTTCCCTCTCGATTTTTAGCTTTTCTGGTAGCCCCACACTCTGACCAGTAAAGCTGCCCTGTTCTTTTGGAGCTCCTCAAACTGGGCAGTGTTCTCAGGAGGAAAGTGAAAAGCTGAAAAGAGTGAGTCACTCAGTCATATCCAACTCTTTGCGACTCCATAGACTGTAGCTCGCCAGGCTCCTCTGTCCATGGAATTCTCCAGGCAGGAATACTGGAGCGGGCAGCCACTCTCCTCTCCAGGGGATCTGACCTACCCAGGGGTTGAACGCTGGTCTCCTGCACTGCAGGCAGATTCCCTACCTCAGATTCTGAGCCACCACGGAAGCCAGAAAGCTGCTTAAATGAACCACTCACCCCATCTTCATCTTCTCTCTCAAGGGCTGTTTCCTCCCTGGCCTCTGCCTGGTTTTGACCGCTCCTGAACCACTGTATTTTATGTTTTATCATTAACTGATAAGGGCTTTTGGCCACAGAACCAGACTAATACAAGCTAACCTTCTATTTCCAGAACCAGAGCTCATGAACTAACATGGTTTTGTTTATTTTCTGTCTCCCGTCTTGTTCAGAAGTTTCCAAGACTCCATCTTCACACTGTATCCTCAGTACCTGTAACTCCACCCGACAGACGGTACTGCTTAATAAAATAACAAATGAAGACTGAATGAATGAATTCCATGCCTAGATAACAATCACAACCAACCTAACTTTCTGCTCCTAGTCCCAGCTGCCAAATCAATTTCACTAAAACAGAGCACCCACAGCTCCTGTCACTGCATGTTGAAACTCCACAGTGGGCAGCTTCCCTGGCGGTCCAGTGGCTAAAACTCCATGTTCCCATTGCAAGGGGCCCAGGTTTGATCCCTGGTCAGGGAACTAGACCCCACATGCCATAACTAAGAGTTCTCATGCTGTAATGAAGATCAAAGATCCTGCGAGATGCATTAAGACCTGTGTAGCCAAATTAAATAATAAAACTTTTAAAAAATATATGTTAGAATTTAAAAAAAGAAACAAAGAAACTCCAGAGTGGGAAGGCTGGTGGGGAGGGACACTGGTCACTCTATTCTTTGATGACACCAGGATGGGGGTCCTCTTTGGGCAAGACACAGGTGACTTCCTGAAGGACCAACAAACATGACCACCACAGCGAAGCCTTCCCCGTCGCCCCCCGCCCTAACCTGCTCCTTCCCTTCCAGCTCCTCTCCAGGAACCACAAACTGGCCCAGGACTCCATCCAGGCCTGCCCGAGCGTTTGACTGAATTGGGCATTTGTTTCTCAGAAACTCCACTCCAGCGAGGACAGTCGGCAACAGAAAGTAACCCTTGGCAGGGGGAGGGAAAGGGTCCAGGACTGGAAAAGGGAGAAAGCAGTACTTGCTTTTATAGGTGATCTTAGAGACGGGGCTGGACACACAGCCCAAAACATCACAGGAGCCAACAGCAGCTCAGGGGTCAGTGTCTTCCCTTCCTCCCCAACCAGAAAACCCAGGTATGGTACATCCACTTCAGCAGGCATGCAGTTGTAACCAGGGGCAAGTGAAGGGTCCAAAAGAGGCCACGTGGTCGGGAGATGCCACCTTCCCACCACTGGACAGATGAGGAAACTGAGGCCCAAAGGGGAAGAGAGCAGGA